TCACTGGAAGAAAGACAGCCTCTTTAACAAATGGTGCTGGAAAAACTACCATTACACATGCCGAAGACTTAAAACTAGATCTATGTCTATCACCACGCGCTAAACTAAAGTCAAAGTAGATCAAAGATCTAAATATTAAAACAGAAGCTCTGAAATCTATTGAAAGGCAAGGTAGGTAGAAATCTTGAAGTCATAGGTGTTGGGAGTTCACAAACAAAATGCAAACTGCACAGGAAGTGCTTCAAAGAATCCACAACTGGGATCCTGTCTTATTAAAACGTTTTTGCATTTCAAAAGAAATCACCAACAGAGTGAAAAGACAGCCCACAGAATGAGAAGAATTTTATCTAACTGTGTCTCAGACAAAGAACTTCTTCCTAGAATGTATAAAAGTTTGAAAAAAATTAGCCCCCCCAATTCAAAGATCCAATCCAAAAAGGGGCATCTAGATGAAGGAATATGCACTTCTCAGATGAAGAAATATGAATGGCAAATAAATATATGAAAAATGTTCAACATCATTGATCAAGAAATGAAGATTGAAATAACACTGAGATTCCATCTCACTCCAGAAAGAATGGATATCATCAAGATATCAACCACTGGGCCAGGGATTTAGCTCAGTGGCACAAGCACCTGCCTGGCAAGTGCAAGGTAATGAGCTCAATCCCCAGTAGCAAAAAAAGAAAGAAAGAAAGAAAGAAAGAAATCAGTCAATCAGTAACAAATCTCCGCTGTTGCTAGAAGTGTAGATTTGTGCAACCACTGTGGAAATCAGTGTGGAGGTTCCTCAAAAACTAGAGGTGTATGTCCTATTCAATCTAGCTATTTCCCTCCTGGATATTTTCCCAGAAGAACTGAAAACATCATACCACAATATGTTTATAGCTGCTCTATTTGGAAGGCCTAAATCTTGGAAGCAGCCCAAATGCCTGTTAACCATGGATGGATAAGAAAGATGTGGTGTTTTTATACAATGGAGTACTACTTGGCTGTAAAGAAGATTTTACAGGTAAATGGATGAAACTTGAGACCATATTCATAAGTGGAATAAATCAGATTCACATAGATAAACATCATATTGTCTTCCTAGTATAAATAAGACCTAAAATGTAGAACAGATATTGCGAAAATGAAAGTGAGAGGAAACTGCTCAAAAGGAAAGAAGTGGGATGGGAGAAAGAGAAATGAAAGAAGGGAAAAGATTATATACAAGATAATTGTGCTACTAATCTCATTAGTTCAAAAACAGTTTGTACTTTCATTGTTTGATCAGTTTTTCATGCTTATATGTTGTAATCTAGGCAACTACTTGGAAGATAACAATATGCAATATATTAAACATTGTTTTTTAAATGTTTTTATTTTGAAGTTAGTAAAATGCAATAGAACAAAACAGAACAAAACCATCAAGACAATGTGGTAAAGTTGGTACAGAACATCACAGAAGGTTACCGGGATAACAGTAATAGGTACCATAGTGCATCTTGTTATCTTCACAATAGTTGTCCATTCCATCAGGTATAGCAAAATCAAACCAAATGTAGAACATTATAAAACCTATCAAAACAGAATATTGAATAGAGCAGAACAATCAGAACAAAGCAAAACAGTGAAAACAATATTTGCCTTCAAAGAGAAGATAGAAGGAAATCCCCCTTATTTGCTATACTGCGTACGATCACCCTCTAAGAGTTGCTCAGACCTCCGCCCCCAGTTGCTAGCGGGAGTGGGGAGCAGGGTGGGGTGTGTGATTCTCAGCCCGCTCCTCAGTAGGCTCATGGAGAGCTGAATGGGTCCCTATCTGGCTGGCCCACGCAGCGCCTTACCAGGAAGGGGGGTGTGCTGCTTTCTTGCCCAGCACCCTAAGTTCCAACATGGCTCTATATTAAACATTGTCAGTTGCCTATGATTTTATTTTGAAATTGTGTATCATCGTTTTTGTACTTTTTTGCTTTTTAAAATAAAATTAAAAAAAAAAAAAGAATACCACCAAAGGAAATACTGAAAAAGAATTAAAGGTAAAAAATTGGAGCAGACAAGAGGAATAAATAAAAATGCTTAAATTTTCAGGAATGGACAAAAACTCTGAAGGTATGAAAGAAACGGAAAAATCGTCAGGGCAGGTGTCCATGGATGTGATGGTGATTTTCTAAAAGCAAAAGCCCGTTAAAAAGCTATCCAGAAGCTAGAAACATTCTTACAATAAAGTTGACAAGGCTCCAAGAATAAAACATCTCCTCCCTAAATACAGAAAAATTCAAGTATATTAATGGATAATTTAAATAAAAGAAAGAATAAAAGTTCAAGTATATTAATAGGTAATTTAAATAGAAGAAAGAATAAAAACATTTAGTAAATAGAAGGAAATAGTTCCAAGAAATCAAAGGAATATACAGAATTGTTATATTTTCAACATACACACAAATATTCCCAGCAACATTAAGTGAGAATGGAAAGGCGGATGCATTTATTCCTGATTTAATGAAACTGGAGAAACAGATGGAAGAAGCCATAACAGATAATATATATTAACATTAGCTCTTCCTAGGGAGGTAAATTAGAGCTCAGTGTCGAGGCCTCCAGAGATGGTTTTGGCTGGGGATCTCTATGGATGGAGATATGTGTGTGGAGGGGATCTGTCCGTCTTCTTATTCCTGCCAGCAGAGTAACTTTAGAGTAACCCTGAGAATCCAAACATGCACCCACGAATAGAAGGCTCTGTCTCCTAGTCTACAGAAGTTGCCACAGCAAATGCTTCTTTTCAGAAGCAATCAATGGTGTCTACGGGATAAGGAGTGCCTCTGTGAGGGAAGAGGAAGGCACGGAAAACTCACCCTGCTGGTGAGCATCTGTGGTTTTGTGGGTTTGGAACCTCACTTGCAAAGGCCTGCTGTGCCATTCGGTATGACGCCCAGGAACCAGAGCCTCGCTGGTTGGCAGGAGACTGAGGTTCCCAGGGGTTTGCATAACACCGGTGATAAACAATGCTGGCAGGTACCCAGCTCCTGGAGCAACACACTCATTGTGTAAGCCGTGTGGGTGGCGGTGGTGGCTGTGTGAAGCCACAGCTGCTGTGTGCATGTGTACTGGGCTCTCCACTACCAGGTCTGAGGCACCCTTGAAACCATCTGAGGCTGCCAGAGGGACAAAGACTTGGAGCCCACGCTGGGACTTGGAAACAGGGGCTTCTCTCTGTGGCTATGGTTGGTTCCCCACACTGAATGTGTTATGTCTGTTTGCTGCAGGGGACTAGTTTTAAAGTGAGGTGGTGGATGAGATCCCAAGCTGCCGTCCAGTGCATCCACTAGGCTTGGGGTAGCAGGTTTGCAGAGTAACCCTGCTGGCTGTGATGGCTATCGTCAGAACAGAGCTGAAGCTGAAGGCTTCTGAGGGCGTGTGTGCACATGCTTATAGCAAAGGTCACCACCTCTGGTGGCTGCCGTGGAGCTTCAGCGAGATAACGTGGAGAGACTTCAGTGCCGTGGACACTCAGTGTTCCAGTGGCTGGTGCAAGCCAGGGTTATGTTGTCCTGAAGGTGCCCAAAGCTGACATGCAGGTCATTGTGCCCTACAGGCAAACGTCTTGTAACTGCTTGAATAAAAAATTTAAATCCAGTCTGACACAATGTGGACCTTAAGTCTCAATGCTCTGTTGATTAATTGAATCAAATGGATTTAAATTTTGACCTCCTATCCATTGGGATTGATGTTACTAACTCAGTGTTTCCTACTACAATTTCTTTGGCTGCTTATCCTCCTCTTAGTGGAGTATTAAGGAGGTCTGTTTTGGATTACGTTTCCCAGATTTTGTTCTCTTGGAGAGCTTGATACAGTCTGACCTCAGTGGTTCCCACCTGGTGGAGAGGGGTTTAATTCTTTGCCTCTTATCACAGGATCCCTGTCCTCCACTTCCAGCCATCTCATCTCCCTCCCTATTGTTTGTCACTTTGAGAGAAGGAAACATATCTTCCAGGAGCAAATCTTGCTTTGAACCCAGGGAATAAAACCCCCGAGAAAACATACCACGGAGGCATTGCACAGGCAAGAGAGGATTGGTTTGGCTGCCTGCCTGCCTGTCATCTGGTTCAACCTGATTTCCTGCAGGCTGGGGAAGAGGGTGGGTCCGTGTTTATTTTATTACAGTCTATTCTTTCTCTTCAGGGTGTTTTTCCCTAGTCCCAAAGATCGTGTTTGTGCTTCTCTGCACACCTGGGCTCTCATGTCAGACCCCAACTCAGCACGCTGCAGGAATTAAAGTGGAGCACCAGAAAGAGTTGTCTCTGTGCTGCCACAAAACCTCTGCCAAGAAAGCCGTCCCTCCAGCAGCACTCCCAGGAGGGCCTCCTATTCAGTGGGCATATGTTTGGACACCCAGGGGTTACTCTGAAGTTACTCTCTGCAGGGACAAAAAGATGGACATTTCCACACATCTGATTTTACAGATAGCCCTAGAGGAAGTCGATCTAGAGAGGCTTTTGTGGCTGCAGTTTTGATATTTGTACAGTATTTACTGAATTTACTGAGCTGCTAGCCACCCTGGCACTTTTAGCTTGGCTGGTTCAAAGATCTCTGGGTGCTCCTCAGAATTCGTTAAATCTGCCTGTTCAGCATAGGTTCATAGATTCAGCAGTCAGGGAGAGGGCCTTGGGAAGCCCAGGGCAGTGATGGAAAACTAATTTTCAACCTGTCAGCTCTGTGCGTGGTCAAGTTCTCTTGCTGTCTTGGGTTGGGGCTGAGGGAAACAATCGCTGGAAAGTTTCCTTCTAGTTAAAAAAATACATGATTTTAGGATTTGAGAAATGCTATGCTTCCTATTTTATTCTGAAAATAGGGACCATGGCTTTTGAGTTCAATCTGGGTTAAAATCCAGTTTAGTTTTTTTCTGGTTTTATGGCTCTGGGATTTTGGCTCCTCGACTTTGAACAGGAGATAATGATGTGCATTTCGCAAAGTTGTTGCAGGAACAGTGCTCGGGCACAAAGAGACTCTTGTGCAGCCTCAGCACATGGCTGGCACTCAGAGCGTGCAAGCCCTGCTCCAGCTGGGTGTCCGCGTGGCGTCTCACCTGGTTCCTGCAGAACTGGGGCAGGGGGTCCGCTGGGGAAAGAGACAAGGGCAACTTGAGAGAGAAAATGAAGGGATCATACTCAGCAGCCCCTTTCATCAGAGCAAGCTGCTTTCTCCCTCGTGCACTCCAGGGCTGCTGCTGGGTAATTAGTGTCTCCGAGCCAAGGCCAGCACACAGTGAGAGCCTTTGTTTCAGGCCTGTAAGTTTCAATGCAGGATGGAAGAAGCAAACCCCAGTTCATCTGAGAGACACTCGCATCTGATTCTGTGGACTGGCTGAGGAAGAGCCTGCCTGGTGGCTGAGGAGAGGATGGTGAGCAGGGTGGCCAGGCAGTGTGAGGGCCCAGAGGACCCTGAGATCCAGAAGGACGGTGTTTGCCTCCAGGAGGCAGGCGCTGGCCAGTTCAGCATGGCTGAGTGGTGACAAGCCCTTGTTCCTGCTGATGTGATCTTTCCAGAGAAATGCCTAAGAAGCCTGTCCTAGAAGAGACCCTAGAAGAGAAGCACTTTCTAGGTTCTCCTCAACCCCTGGCTGTCTAATGTCTTTCAATTTGAATGCTGTGAGAATTACTGAATGAAATTCTGCAAACACTGAAAATTTGTTGTATTAATGGTGGCAGGTGCAGAGCTGATTATTGATAGACATGTAAGTACTTTCAAAGTGGAGATACTGGGCAACAAATAGATAGTTCTGTTAAAGAGAATGGTGTATGAGAAAGAACTTTGGACAAGATGAGTTGTATGGGGACAGATTAGAGATTGAAAAGGGAGGAGGGAGGAGGGAGGAGGGAAGGGGGAAGGGGGAAGAGGGAGGACATTTTCAACCAGTATTCTGGGCCATATAGATTCGGTAGACACAAAGCCTTAGCATCCTTCTTTTCTGGCGAGGGAAGAATGTCGCAGTGTCTAAGTCCTCTGGTGACTTTCATGAGCCCCTGGTACATTTACATGGTGGAGGAAAACAAATCTGATATTTTTATCACCTTGCCCTGGGTGGTCCTCAACCCAGTCTTCCCAATCCCTTCTAAATGAAGAATATCCTCATAGACAAATGTGTTTTAAAATCCACATCATTATATATATATATATATATATATATATATATATATAAAATGTTATATACTTTACCTATTTTTTGAGGGGGGAGCCATATGAAGGAAAGTAGCATTTATTGATGCTTTTCATCCTGAGACAGCATCTTGCTGTGTAGTTCAGGCTGGCCTTGAACTTACTGTGCGGCCCAGGATAGCCTCGAAATCATGGCAGTCCTCCTGTCTCAGCCTCCTGGGTGCTGGAATCATAGGCTTGCATTATCAAACCTAGCTTATTGGTGCATTTTTATGTATAAAAAACTACAGTTTTTTTTTTTTTTTTCAGTTTTAGTGCTTTATAGGGAAAGACTACTGTTACTACTCCTGTGTCCTAGGGGCGGGTGGTGACACATTTCATATCAGTGGGATTCTTAGAGATTTCTGGGGCAAGGAGAAAGCATATCCGAGGCTCTGACAATTCTGGGCTGCTAAAGAGTGAGGGTTTGAAAAAGGGACTTTTGTTTAGCGAAGTATCAAGCCTTTGTCCCTAGAAACTTAGGCAGTGGGTGGAAAGCCAGTTTGTCCTGTGTCTGCGTCACATGGAGGTGACTATCAAGCTCGGGGCTGGGGGATCCTGTGCCCGGTGAGACCCTGAAGACGGAGAGGTGGGAAGAAGCGAGGGAAATCTCCAGGAGGGATGGGTACACGGGAGGCCTAAAGGGCAAGGCAGAAGGCTGGACCCACAGTGAGGGCAGACAGTGGGAAGCTGCCATGGTACCCAGCCCTGAGGCTGCTGCAACCACAGAAGTGGAACGTCTGGAGTTTGGTTTTTCTTTGCTTCTTGAGGTCCCAGACCATCAGTATGACCTGCTTCCTACACAACACCTCCTGTAATGGTTTGCAAGGGTTGCCGCCTGGATTGCAGAGTCTGTGTGGCTGCAGAGCTGGTGAAGGGGACAGATGAGTGAAATCAAAGTTTGGACAGAATTGAAATTTGCAGCCAGTGTGACCAGGAGGCTAGACACAAGGCTCTGGGAATGTCAAGGTGGCTGTGAGTCTTTGCCAGGGTACAAGCTTGTGCTTGAGCCAATTTTATTTAGATCTTATGAGGCAGTGTGACCTCAGCTGACACCCACTTAGATTTCAGTCATATGCTTCAGTTAACATGATCTGTGTTTTTCGGAGGAGGGAAACAAAATGTAGAAATACTCATACATTTTCCCAGCAACGCAGTCCTTAAGTGGTGACTGGTCGCGAGGGTTTCCCCATGTTCATGCCTGTGAAGGGGAGGACCAGGACCCTTAAGGGGTTATAGTTACCCTGTCAAGGACTTCTGCACCACGCCAGGGGCCAGCAAGCTTGTCATAAGACTCTCAAGCATTGCTGACCGCTCTGTCTCTGTTGTGGCTCTGCGATTCTATTGCTACAACTCCCATCCTACAGCATTCAGTTATTTATCAGATGTCTGTAAGTGAATGGAAGGGCCACCCTGCAGGTTTTGGAGAGGACAGGGCAGTGTGAACATGGATGAGACAAAGGAGGTGGTCCTGGCCTTTTCCCCGAGAGCCATCTGCTGAAAGTTACATACAGTTCTTCCAGACAAACTAGCACACCTGGTCCTGGTTCCTTTTCATCTGATAAAGCCCAAATGAAGGAGCTGCTTCCTTGGATAAATCACATCACCCTCTTAATCTCATGGGCTGTGTGTGTATGTGTGTGTGTGTATGCTGGTGAAAAGTCATCTGTAAGGCTTCTTGTGGCTCTGAAATGCTCACATGCTGTAGAAGTCTACCCAGTGAGTGTTGCCTGGCTCACCTTTCCTTGTCTCTCTCTCTTGCCTTCTTTCAAAGCGATGAACATTCACGCCTTCTTCTCTGCTACTCTATTTTAAGGCTGGTAGAATGATTGCATTCAAAAGCTTCCCAGGAAAAAGAAAAAAAAAAAGTAGCTGGAGTAGCCAGCAAGCAGTGGAGGAGTGTGTAGCTGTGAGCCTTGGTGTTGAGTTGTAAAAGCTGTGTGTGTCTACTGTATGATAGCCTGGATTTTTCTGCATGTGTGTGTGTGTGTGTGTGTGTGTGTGTGTGTGTGTGTGTGTGTGCATGCGTGTGTGTGTGAGTTTGAGAGGCAAACGTAATACTCTCGTGTTTCCTTTATTTTACTTTCTAGGAAAACATAAGAGGAATTCATTTTCTTTGGGATTAAGGAAATCTCTTCTTTTTTGTTGGCAACACGAGGTTTTAGCAGATCTCTGATCTTGTGCTGAAAAGAATACAGCACTACAATGGTGCCCGGAGATGGGGGCTTGAACTCAATTTGGATTACCAGGTACGGCTGCGTAGCCTTGTGACACAGATAGTGGCAGTCTTTGGAGAGAGTGCTGACGGAAAGACCTCTGGGACCCAGGTTATTGTTGCATCTCATCTGAGGCCGGTTACCGGGAGGCTGAGCCTCACAATCTGATGCTCCGAGGGACAGGTCTGTATCAAGCTGTCAGCCCAGTGACGGCCATGTGCTACTGGGGAAGAGTCAGGAGAGACACTGGGCAGGAAGCTCCAGAGAATTGAGGTGCTGGCTAAGCCATCCACCCTCCGGCAGCCTCAGCTAGTCCCTCTGTAAACCCAGGTCATTCACATCTGGGTCGCAGGTCTTGCCAGCCTTGAGGTACAGACGCCAGGGAGGTGACACCTTTTGGAGGCTGCTAGCCTGTCTCGGAGTCACTGCAGGACCTCAGCGCTTCCCTCTGCTCTGGCTCTCACGGAGCTCCTTTCTCTGGCTCTCACGGAGCTCCTTTCCTGAGCATTTCCCAGTGGTGATTTACACGTCTGCCGACACATGTCCACGTGTGTTTTTCCACTCCTGCCTTGATGCCTCGCTTTGTCGCCTATGTGAAGCAGACCTGCTGCTTCCTAGAGTTCCACAGAGTCAATCATATGAAAGTTAGGCAAGCCCCTTCTACCTCCCCCGTGACTCCAACCTGGGTGCCGGGGACAGAATCCTGTCATGTTCTGCATTTCCTTAGGTGGCCCCAGATACCGTGCAAATCTCTCCCATTTTCAGTCAAACAGAATAGGTCCTAGCACCTCACCCAAAGATGCCAGGATGCTGCTGGTCCCACCTCAGCCCAAAGCCTGCTCTGCTTCTCTGCTATGCAGTGTGGCCATGCATCACAGGGCTTACGTGAGTGACACTAAGTGACATTTGATAACGAGGGAGCCCACAACTCTTGAGTGCTTACTATTTGCTAAGTGTGTGCCAAGCTTGTCTTGTGCCTTGTCTCTGGGACTCTGAAGAGCAACCTGTTTCAGAAAGAGCCTCAGGGAAGAGCGGGGGTGTAGAGCAGGAATGTGCCAAGAGCAGACTGAAGTGCAGACAGCCTGATTCCAGCAGCATTCTTAAGCTTCATGCTGTGCATGCAGCGGCTCCCCAGAGACTGGGGCATGCGTAGCTCTGCAGTGCTGTCAGTCCTAGCTGACATCTGATGCTGTCGCCTCAAGCTGCTCCCAGCTGCCTTGGAGATGGTCACAGGAGTGGGGAGAGAGGTGGAAGAGAAGGACAGAAGCACAGAAAGGGCGGCCCAGGTGCATGGTCCCAACATGTGATGCTTCCACTTCTGACTTAGCTCAATTTTACAATGGTGGGAGAGTGATACCCACGCAGTAGAATTTGTACTTCGAAGACTAAATTTGATCTCCTTCTGGGTTAGGAACATGAGATCTTGATCTTTCAAGCTGTAGCTCCACTCCACGCCATCACGAGGGGAAGCAGCTGGGACTCTACTATGTGCTGTGTCCTGAGCTAGAATCTCGGCAGCTTTGGTGCGGCTGATGCATTTACAGCCCACAATATTTTTGACTTGCAATGAGTTTATCAGCATGTTACCCCATCACAAGTGGAGGAGTGTTCCTTCTGCCAGTTCTCAGGAGAAGCTATGGGTCAGCTGGAGTTTCAGATGGGGACTTTTAGGGCAGAGGGGGTTTCATGAGAAGAGGTGGAGAAAACAGAATTTGAGGCAGGGGACTCAGTGGTCATCACCTCTGAAAGCCAGCATTTCTCAGATGTTGGAATTTTCTCATGTCAGAATTATTTAGTATGACAGTTGAAGATTGTTTGGGAGTGTTAGTTTAAAAATAGCTTGCTTATACCTAGCATTCAGGAGGCTGAAGTAGGAGGGTCTTCAGGAATTTGAGGATAGCCTCGATAACAGTGAGTTCAAGGCCATGCTGAACTACATAGTGAGACTCCGTCTAAAAAACAAAACAAACAACAAACAAACAAACAAAACAACTACAACCACCACCACAAAACAAAACCTAACAAATTATAACGATCAAATGGAGATGGTAATTCCTGCCCGGTGGGGACATTGTCAGGATCAGGGGTCCACAATGGTGGTTATGGAGAGGCCAGTTCGTTCCTCAGTGTCCTGTTAAGATGTCTCTACTTTCTACCTTATTTCTGGTTCTGCCTTATTTCTTAAACTCTCAGTGAAATCTTAGACTGCTGCCTTGCTGGCCTGTTCTGAGACCTTGATGACTCCCTATCGAATATCAAACTTTCTTGGCCAACATCGAAGAGCGAGCAGCCCAAACTACCTGGCCACCTCCGTTTCCTATTCATCTCTGCGCTATCACTACGGGGCAAAGGGAATCTAACTGCTGCCCTCTCAATACTCCCGTTTTTTTCTATTGCCTCTGTGTCTCACGTTCCCTCCTACGTGGAGCGTGGTTTTAGAGATGATCAAATGTGATAATCCATGGGGGTGCTCAGACAGCAGCTGGCACGTGCCGAATGCTCCCCATGAGTTAAAGGTGAGTTTCAGTGGCTCCACAACTTTATCTTAAAGAAGATGTTGTTATGGCTGATATCCAGACTGGCCCCCAAAGGCCTCCGTCACTCCTAGATGGGGCTTTGGAAGCAAACTGGACTGTGAGGATGCTATAACTGCCTTGCTGAGCAGGGATCAGGTTGGAAGAGACACCCACGAGGGATGTGACCTGGGTGGGTCCCTCTCCCTCTCCAGCCTCCTTTGTCTCTTTCTGTTTGCTGGCCGAGATGACATGACAGCTTCCTTCCTCCTAGGCTCTTCTGCAGACCATTTTTGTGGCTAAACCTGCTGAACTGTGAGCCTCTCCTCCTACGACTTCCTTTTTTATCAATCAATAGGGACAAGTCTATTTCCCTAAATGGGTAGCCCGAGACTGTGCAAGACGCATCTCCTGCAGAAATCCCCGGGAAGTCACTTGACAACTCAGCTCATTTCATCGGTGTTTATTTTGTGTCTTTCTTTCTAGCCACGTGGTCTTTATGTGCCTCAGTGACTCTTGGGCAGCCTCCATTTAGGACCTAGTGAGGCTTGTAGGTGAGACTGTTTCCAAGTTTGTGAATGAACTTTCCACTATCATGGAGTTCATCCTTTTGATTCGGGGGTCCGGTGGGTTTTGATGTTCAAGATCGAGCTGCAGAATCAGTATTTGCCTCCAGGAATGCCTTTGTGTTCTTTTAGGAGAAATTAATCCTGTATGTTATGTAATCAGACAGAAAAAATTGTAAATTAAATATTCTGTTTATGTGTCTCCTATAGATCAGTCTTTTGATATCTCATTTGTAATATTAATTTTTATGTTTTGGAAATAATGTATCATTGTTAAAATGAAAATAAAAGTAAAAAAATCCCATACTACTACTCTACAAAAGTTGACAGTTTTTGAATTTCTCTGTTCATTTCCTTTAATATGTGTATATCATTTTTTGCATAGCAGAATAGAGCGGATAATAGTAATTCTAATAAAAACTAAAGCCACTACTTATGAGCCCTAAATACTTGCTAAAGAAAAGTGTGTCACTTGTGCCCTTCTGCACTGAACTGAGCAGGGTAGCCCAGGGTCAGAAGCAGCTCTGAAATGATCGATGGCTCAGACCTGACCGGGGCAAGTGGTCCCGGGACCCTTGAGCGCCCTCCTGTCTCCTGCCGCACTCACTTCCTGTCCGCTGACCCCACACTGTGCAGGATGGGCTGCACTGCCGCAGAGCCCTGGAACTCTGGTGTTGCCTGATCCAGAAAAACCAGGTAGTCTTGGAAGGTCAGATCATCTCCTACGAATGTTTGTAAGATGCCGATATCAGTGCTTCGGGCCTGACGGAGGCTCGCATGTGGCCAGGACAACAGCGTGAACCTGTCCTTGCCCTGGTCATCCAAACACAAGCCATCCGTGTGTGCAGATGGGGTTTCAGGCAGCCTTGCCAAGAGTCAGGAAGCAGAGGCACTCAGAGGCCCAGGGAGTGAGGTTTCAGGGCCACCCCGGGGGTCCAGAAGCAGAGCAAGCTGGAGCTCCGCAGCCAGGCAGAGGCAGATGGGAGCCGGCAGCGGGTGCCTGCCCAGTGGGTCCTTGGGACTTGCGTGTGTCACTTCCTAGGGCCTCAGAAAACGCTCACTGGTTGGATGGATGAGTGTACAGGAGAGTGTAAGGCCATGTGTGACAAAGCATGTGAATGTGTACATACCTGTATGCACATATATGAGTGTGTAAGCATGTGTATCTGAGTGTGAGTGACATAGTGTGTAAGTGTGCAAGCCAGTGTGCAAATGCGGTGGGATGAGTACTGACAAAGAGCCACGCTGCAATTCCTTTTGTCGCCCTGCTAGATGACAAAGGGTGCTGATTGTTTTGCACTTAACGTTCTCTCCAATGCTGTGAGGTCGATCTTACCATGTGGTGTATCAGAGGTGAGCAGGAGACTCAGAGAGACTGAGCTCCCTGCCCAAGTTCATGCTGGTGGGGGCAGAGCTGGGCCTTGACCCTGCTTGGTCCCTGAAGCCGGTGACCGTCTCACTGTGCCATGCCGACCAGCTCGGCAATACACTGCCAGGCCCTGGTGCTGCTGTGAGGTGTAAGGGTGGGAGACCACGTCATAGGGAGAAGCAGGAGCTGCGCTGGTTTTGAAAAATCCTGGAAAATGCTGTTACTTAGGGGTCAGCAGGATGTTGGCAGAGGACAAAGTTGAAACCTCAAATGCATGCTTGAATGTTTCTGAGAAAATCTGAATGATGAGAAGGAAGAGGCCCATGAGAAGGACACCTTCCTGCCTCTATGTCAGCGCTGCAAAGGATGGACGTTTCCACCAGCGTGCAGGCCTCTGGACCCAGCTTTCCACGGGAACAGACTGCAGAGCTGGTGGCCAGACGGACGCCGTTACAGAAAGCATTCTGTACCGATTCCCTTCTCCAGATTCCTTCCGGTAAGTTCCCAACCCAGGGAAAGCATCCAGGCCAAGCGAGTGAAAAAAGGCACTGTTTCCAAAGCATAAAGAAAACCCTTTACCCTTTTACTTTTAAAATCCCAGTATCCATGACAACTAGACAGAGGGAGGAAAATGGCCGTCCCTCCCCTCTGCATTGTTCAACTTCGCAGTTCCTGCAGCAGCTGAATATACGGGGCCCAGCCAGATTCTCGGGGTGCTTTCTTCTTTCTCCATCCCCCTTTATTGCAGGCCCTCCTCAGTGCCAACCCGGCTTTGTCTTTGGCTGGAGACGTCTGTGAGAAAGAGGGTGGGCAAAGTGTCAGACTCTTGGTGCTTTTGAAAAGCCTTTGAGATGGGAGAAATTGGTGGAACAAAGGCAGGGAACAAAAAACTCTGGATGGCTCACCCCTGTCTCCGAGGGACTTTATCATCTTAAACCTCGGGACTTAGAGAGTCTGACTTGGCCTTTCCCAGCGATGGCTTGGCAGGGAGACAGAAAGAGAGGTCTAGGAAACTGGTCGGACCACAATCTCAGGGAGCTGACTTCCCAGGCAGACACAGCCTGGTCGGCTTAGCTTGGGGGCCTCTCCTTCTCTTTTCTCCTTCCTTCCCTCCCTCCTTCTGTCTTTCCCCCCCTCACACTTCCCTTTCACCTTTTCCTCTCGCATATTTCTGGTTAATATCTTCCCACTTGAAAAAAACCTGAACAATTAGACTGAGCTTCAATAACAATTAGACAGAGCAATCAATTCCTTTAAATAATTTGTCTCAAGGAAATAATCTGATATTTGCACAAAGCTTTATGTCCCGGGTGATTTAGCACAGTATCATGAAATAAAGAAAATACGGATGTGACTTCCAGTAAGATTGCCCAGTACATTATGCCTTGTTTGGCAGAATGGTGATTTTTTATTCAATGCCTCTATAGCTGCCTATTGGGCGCTGGGTCTCTGGAGATCAGTGGCCAAACAGATGTGGTCCCTGCCCAGGTGAAGTGCAGGGCTGGAGTTAGATAAGGCAGGTGTGAATGCAAATCCCAGTTCACTCAGCCACATCGGGAGACTGAAGATTTCTCTAAAATTGATAGCCTCATGCTGGGGTCTGAATGATGAGCTGGAAACACAGGACAATGCACGGTGTGGGAAAGGGGCCAGGTGAGGCAGGGGAGCTGCCATGGTCCCAGTGAAGACCCACACTGGGGAGAAGCACGGGTTGTCTAGGAAAAAAGAAGGGGTGGGCAGCTGTGGGGGTGGAAAGGCAGCAGGCCAAGCAGGGCCCTCTGGAATCTTTATTCTAAGAGCAGTGGGCAACTTCGGTGTGGCCAGGGCCGGGCTACAGGCTCTGAGGGCGCAGAAAGCGCTCTCAGGCTGCAGAGTGGACAAAGGTTCGTGGGGGCGCAGAGGTTCATGTGGCAGCGGCAGGACACGGTAGCAGTGCCTCCCTTCTGGGCACCTCTGGAATCCACTGAGGAGCCACAGCTGGTGGGATGTGGCCGCGGACTGGAGGGTGCAGGAGGCGAGCAAAAGAGGGCAGGATGGCCAGGGACTGTGTGCTGGCCTTCTAGGCTCCCACTACGAAACACCACACACCAGGGGGAGTCATAAATCAACCGGAATTTATTTCCTGGAGGTTCTGGACCTGCTGTTGTGAGGCTGCTGTCTTCCGAGGGCTGTGAGGGGGAATCGGCTCCTTAGTCCTTAGTTTCAACTGCTTTGCTGGCAATTTTAGGGCTCTTTTGCTATTACTGGGAGTTAGGGTATCCATATATCTTTCTCAAGTCCGCAAAATCCAACCCGTGACAGGCCACTTCTGCCGCATCTGCTCCATGAGCGCTGGTTCTCTCCTACAATGTTGGGTAAAAACCACATTTCAGGGAGAAGGTTTTTATTTCATCCTGGATCTGTTGAGTTCAATGTACTGTTAATTTATTCATCGATTCTCAGATGCTTATTAAGTGGCACTGTGTGGCAGGCACCAAGCTAAGTACTCAGGATATAAATATGAACCAGTCAAGCATGGCTCCTACCCTCCAGGAGCTCGGAATCTAGTGGGAGATAGACCTGAAATGTCAATAGGCATCAAGTTGCAGGTGTAATGTGCTATGGGTGGCAGGTAATGTGAGAGGGTTTGACTTTGTAAGAGGTCAAGAAACAGTTTCTTGCAGATGTGACACTAAGATAAGTACAAGAGGGATAGGAGAGAGAGAAAACCTCTGAACTGGGAGAACAGTCTATGCAAAGGTCCTTGGGAGAGACAAGGAGGGTGTGGTGATGGGGAGGCATGGAAGGCATCGGACTCCAGAGGTACTTGCAAGGAACTCTGAACGGTCTTGGTGATCGGCTGGACATGGGGTGGGAGAGAGGGCAATGTGGCTGCTACTCTGGGTCTCTTGCATCTGCTCGTGCATGGCAGTGACTGGATGAGCAACGGCTTGGGGGGAACGTTTGGGAATGGAGGCTCGTGGGTGCGGTAGACCAGTTCAGGAGAAGCAGGTGGGGGGCTGCTGCTATCCCCACTCCAGGCTTAGGGGAGATGCTGGCCAGGTCAGGGAGGCGACTGCAGAGCAGGTGTTGGGGCCACGCTGAGCTGGTATGGATCTGGCTGGTGGAGGTTTGCAGACGCAGTGTCAGGGAAGAGGAAGTGGCTGCTTCCTGATGATTCTCTCTCTCCCTCTCTCTCTGTCTTTCCCTCTCTTTCTCTCTCTCTCTGAAAGAAAAGGAGAGGTTTTCTACTTTCAGTGAAAAATGAGGAAAAAAAATATGTGAGTTTGGTGGAGACCTGGCAGGGTAAGTTTGGAAATGATGTTGGAGAATAAGGGAAAGAAAGAAGTTTGTAACATCTAAAGTAAAAAACAGAAAGTTATACAATAATAGTGTCTGTATGACTTCAATTTTGGACAGAAAAATAAAAAAGTAACACACACATATGGATATATACAGACATGGAGTACACACATGTTCCAGTACACACTTCCTGATTAGGTGACCTCCAAGAAATTTAAAGGATTTTGCTTTGTGATTTTTTTGGTATTTTTCAAGTTCACTAAAAAAAACACATACTGCTTGAAAATTATTATTAAACTTTTCTAGCTTGAAACAGCAAAATAACCAACTATTTGTAAACAAGAACAGTCTTTGGTGACAAGTCATAGAGTAGTGGCTGCCTTTAAGATGACAGCCTCACCCTCAGACATCACAGCTTTTCTGCCAGGCATCAGTGGCTATGACATCTTCGCTCCCTGGTGCAGATCTAATTAATAGCTGCAGAGCCATTGTGGCAGCCCTGTGTCTCCCAGAGCGAAATTCCAAGCTCACAGGTGGCATCTTTGATAACTCTGATGATTGTGATTAGTAAAATAATTCTTCTAAGCTTGTGCAGGCTTGGACACACCATTATTTTGTTCTCTGAAACAATAGTGACTCAGTGCTGGGGACCAATGCTTTTAGATATGATG